AGCAAAATGCTGTGAAGGTGACTTTTTAAAACCTTCACAGTGTTTTTGCTGTGAAGGTTCGACTTTTTTTAAACCTTCACAGTGTTTTTGCTGTGAAGTTTASGTGTAAAAATATGGTCTCACGGGTCTCACGAAAACAGGCTGGTCTCACGTGAACCCAACCCTATATATATATATATTAACAGTGTGACAAAATTGGTTTTATGTGATACCATATTATAAACCGAATTCCCATTTAGCTAGAATTGATGCAAATGTCTTACGCATTTGCGTATTTAATATGAAAATATGCTTTACGCAAAGATGCAAGACATTTTCGTAAACTCCGGTTAAAATGAGAATCTGATCGAAAAAGTCTTATAATGCAGTCTATTAAGACATTTAGGGGTTGTTTACCAAAGCTTATCTGAGTAAGCGCATACCAAATAACATTATCTTAACGAATAAATATGACAAGGATCAAGAATCTTACTCAGTAAGAGCGAAGGTAAGGACTGGGAGTCTTACCCGGTAAGTAAAACCGATGACTCTTACCACAGTAAGTAAGTGATAGTGTTGAATTTACTGGTAAACACTTACCCGGGTAAACGTTTGGTAAACAGTCTCTTAAACACGTTTCAGTGAACTCGATTTTGTTGCAGGGTAATTAAGGGAAGGAGGGTGCATACACGACATATCCAAGTGGAATACTTGAAAAAGATGTTGCAGAAGGTGAAAGCGATTACGACACCAACACTGTTAACCGTGACGACCAGTAGACTGTGTGGATGAACGATGGGAAGACCGTAGAACAGCCACATGGCACAATTTAAAAGGGTTGCAAGATATGGATCTGGTTTGAATGCTTGAACTGATTTGTGTTTCACGATATTTATAAACGTTGGACTGCAAATAAATTTGTTTGTGCAAATTTGTAAATAATGTGAAAGTACAGGGACTTGAATAGAACATTCACAAATTTCGAAGGACTAAAACAGAAAAAAAAAGTTATCAAAATAATGCTTACGTGGGAGAAAGATATAGATATAATGAAATTACATTTCCTGCATAAAATAAAAAAATAATAATTAAATATGCATTTTTAACAAATAAATTAATATTAAATTCCTATTTTGACCTCGTGATCTATACTATATTATAATTGTTAAAACTCTTAAAAACCATTTTTTATGCATGAAATACTATTTATTGATGTATATTACTTAAAATTAAAGATTACAAGTAAATTGTGCGTAAGTTCAACTTATTAAAGCTTCTTGTTTGAATTCGTGTAACTAAATGCAGATAAACATAATCAAATAGAGAATAAACATCTCATTTTAAATATAAAAAATCTAAAAGATAATTAAGATAATCATTAAGTTATAACGAAATACTTATTTCTTATCTTTAAAAAAAATTATATTATTAAACCAAAAATAAAAAATTGAATTAAAGAAATACACAAAAATAATAAATTTTAAATAGTTAGTTTGGTACTAATATCAATTTTTTATGATATATCTTCATATTTATATTTTATTAAAAAAAACATTATCACTTCTTAAAGTCACATAAAACTGTATTATAACATCGACTGAGACAAAAGAAAATGAAACATTAAAATCGAGATATATCTCGCTGCATTGTGCAAGTACCCTTGTAGTTATTTTTTAATGCAAATAATTTAATTTCTTAAAGATTATATTATTCAGTTAAACATTTGGGTAAAAAGTTGATTACCGACAATCTCAACCGGTCCCACATGAAACCTGCCTCCAAAGACATAATAAAGGGGGCATTTTTGGCTCACTCAGGGGCTAAGGCTGGGGGCAGGGTCGGACTCTGGACATGTCTTCTATTTGGGAAAAATTACCCCCTTTTTGATAGCTGAGTTAAACATCAGAAACATTATTCAGTTAAAAAAAAAATAGTAAGTGTCAGTTCAAATAAAAATGTTAAAAGAAAAATTCATATGTGAATCATTGAAATTTTTTATTTGAACTGCATATGTGAACTGACGTTACTAACTATTTATATGGGTTTCATGATATTTAATTTTTCTTTATTTAAACATCTCACCGTATCAGTATTTTGTTAATGATAGTTGAAATTATACTTTTGACCCTCGAGCATTCCACAAAGTGAAACAGTGTCATGTAATGCACGAGGAAACACGAGGTTAAAAAGGTAATTTTAGAGTTATGCTAAAATGTATTACCACCGTTAAATCATGCAGAATCAGAAATAACTAAAACAAATAAATACAATGATCATTTGAACATCTGAAGCAGAAAATGTTCCAATCGACATGAAACGTGAAGTTAAATATTGTGACTTGCATGACACAGTTGGGAGATTTTGATCGTGAGAAAAGAAAAGAAAAAAACATATGGACCAAACCTGTATCGAATTACGCTCTGATATGCAGCGTTAACTTGTACCATATAAAACAACAAACACGTCAAAAGAAACTGAAGGTACCCAATATCTGGTTTTTTGAGGAGAGAAATGTACGAACCAATGATCCCCACAATGAGTCTGATGGTTTCGCGATCCATCTGTCGTTATTGATGCAGCAGATCGAAATGGATGACGAGATATCAGATATATTTGTATATCTGTTTCTGTTTCTTTTTCTTTTTATATAATTTTGTAAAGAAATCAATATACTAAAATATGAACATATGAACCATCTTCATATGCAAATGAAGGCTATGAGATTGAAAAAAAAAAATTAAATGAAGTCTCAAAAGAGGAAAGTTTAGAGGGATGTTTTGAAGGTTTTTAAAGACCCTTTTTGGGTACATTTCTATTTTTGGAAACATAAATCTTGTGTTTGTGTGAATGGTATGAATGCAATTTTTGTCCATAGATGGATCTATTTTTGGTAGGTCAAATGTTGGTCAACTCGTATATTTGAATTGGTAAGAGCGTAATATCTGATTTGTAGATATCAGATTAAAAAGATCAGATTTCTAACTGTATAGTGATTTAATCGAAGGAACGTAACCTTGTAGGTGTAGAGAAACGTAAAAGGGCGTTCAAGATTGAAGGAATGAAAAAACCCGTGTGGCGTGATGAATTTTGTTGTGAAACGGGGTTCGAAGGGAGGGTTTTTTTAACTGACTTAAGAAAGAAATATCTGAATGGCGGAAAAAATAGAACTCAAAATAACATGTATATAGGAGAAAACATAATTAATTAATTTTTTTTTTTGATAATTCATTCAAATAGTTAATCCTATATTTCAGAATATTCTATAACCGGTGGTCTGATACTAAGGGACCGTTTATTAAATGCTTATTTGGTAAGTGCTTAACGGATAAATTTTCTCATCAAATGAACATGACAAGTGCCAAGAATCTTACCGGTAAGAGCGATTAGAAGGATGAAAAGTCTTACCTGGTAAATGAGGATGATGACTCTTACCCAAGTAAGCGTTTACCAGGTAAATTGTTGCATTCGATATGTTTTGATACACTAAAATCTTACGCATCAAAATAAATTATAATGTTAACTTCTATCGGTAAATATTTGGGTAAACGGCTCCTAAATCTCGTGTTGACAATATATAACTAGGTCCAAATTCTTTAAAAAGAACGACCCTAAAATGCTAACGATGTGTTCTCGAGTCCATTTTTACGAAAGAAAATGACCAAAAAGGAAAGAAAAGCAGGGGAAAAATACTGTGTTTATCGAGTTTTTTAGAAAGAAAAAAAAGGAAAGGAAAATAATTAACAGTTTAAATTATTTTTAAAATTGCAGATTTATCCATCAATTAATTACTATCTGTTGTAAAATAAATAACAATATATTCATAAAAACGATAGGTTTCTTTTCTTTATATCTGGTTCAAGAACATGGAAATATTTATAAATTTATCAGTCAATTTTTAATCAGTCGTAAAATAAATAACTGTACATTTGTAATAATGATATCTTTTCTTTCCTTTTTCGTCGGTTTATGAACATGAACATTTATCTGATATCATTTCACTCTTCGAAACAAAATAAATAAAATTATTTTCTTTTATTATAGGAAAAATTGCATGAAAAAGTAACGTACTTTAACTTGATTTCTATTTTGGGTAACGTACTTTCAAAACTTCCATTTTGGTACCTAAGATGTAAAGTTTTCAACATTTAAGTACTCGGGTAACCCAGTGAAGACTAATTTTAGACTAAAAAAAAGACTAATTTTAGATTAAAAAAAATCCACGTCACTGACTAGGTCAACAAATAATACCGAGTTGGATAACACATCACTCGCCACATAAGTATGATAACCGGTTAATACTTCAACCAGTTACCCGGGTACTTAAATGTTTAAAACTTTACATCTTAGGTACCAAAATAGAAGTTTTAAAAGTACGTTACCCAAAATAAGAACCAAGTCAAAGTACGTTACTTTTTCATGCAATTTGCCTTCTATTATATCCGTAAGTGTCTTTTTGTACATTAGGGACCATTTAGGCCCAATATCAATCTTGAGACTGGGCTTGAAAGGCCCAAGATGAATGGGCCTAGCCCGAAGCTTGGTTAGGGCCTCGGTTATTGATGCTCCGCTCTATAGTTCGATTATAACTGATATTAGTTAGACATGAAGTTAGATTAGGGTGAACATGATACGATACCATGTTTCTTTTTAAATACCATATAAACCAATCAATTATAATTGGTACGTAAAATTTTATACCATGTATCAACCAACTATATCTGGTACCAACTAAATTGGTGCCAATAGTTGGTACTAACTTTTTTCGGTTGATACATGTTGGTACTAATAGCCAAATTCAGATAATTGAATCGTCAAACTGAATTGGCCCAACATCCTATTTATATGGAGGTTTGATATTTATGTAAATAATTATATAATTATCTAAAACATTAATAATTATACTTATTTATAGATAATACCCTGTAATTATCGTAATTACATTTTTGCACATATTCTATAATCACTCTTCAAGAATAATTATTTAACTGTCAAACATGACTTTTGGATTATTTTCAAATGGAAGCAAACGTATTCTTTGTGTGCGACCTTATAGATTTACATATTCTTTACAAGTATCCCTGTGTGACACGTGTTGTGGACATATAATAACTTACAATACTAAATTTTAATTAATAAATAATTAAAAAAATAAGTCGGTACGGTATGGTACGGTATTGCATGATATACAACTTTTAATAACACGTACCAACCAAGTTTACATCTATTTTTTTTTTTTTTTTGAGATTTTGGGTTCTGATAATCTATTTTGAAGAAATTTCAGAAAATCCGTTGACGACGTTTTCAGTGACACTACCCCATCAAGATTTAGCCCGAATCTAGGATCCAACCAGGTCTTATATAGCACGTGCATCTGTTTAGAACACGTATGAGACCAGATTGAACGAGAGTGAGTTTTAACGAGTGAAATGTAGAGAACTATAAGGTTTTATTTTAATATTGATAGTTTAGTAATTTATCAATATTTCCACATCTTCCTATACGTCCCAGTTTATATATATATAACGTCAAACATATATACCAGCTTTTTGTTTAGTTCTATTTTGCTCCATATACCAAACGCACATTTAATATCAACAAAGATATCACACGTTATTCCTTAAAAAAAGAAGATACTGCGTGCTACTAGTTTTCCTTAAAAACGGTTTTATGAAAATTTGTAACTCGTGCACTTAAATTCGTACATTGCCTTATTATATCAATCAATTTGAAGCCTCTAATGTCAGCAGATTAATCTCAGGACGATCATCTGTTTTACATATGGTCTGAAGTCACCGTATTTGAACCTATGTGACCACAAGGGAATTTTTATTGGTAGAAGTTGCCAAAGAGATTATATATATATATATATATATATGGTATATTTCTTTTACAACCTTGTGTATTTGTACAACCTTTACAACCCAATTAATTGAGATATTTATAGAAATGATTGAAGTTCATTTATTATAATTTGAATATTTATAGAATATGAATATATATATTAAAAAGTGTATTTGATAAAAGTAGGCAAGGAGTCATCATCAAATTTTGAAACTATACACCTATCCATCTACCTTCAGCTTGTGAGTCCACTTCACTTCACTTCACCCTCATATTATCTATGCAAATTACGTAATAAAATTGTTTTATAACCACTAAATCATTTAAAAGAATCTGATTCGTTAAGTGATAGGATCATTTAAACTTTGTTTTTTCCTAATTTTTTGGAGGTATTTATGTCTTATTGTACTCTTATCTGGTAAGAGATAAGTCAGTCTTTTATTTGCCTCTAATTGTTCTTCAGAGCCTTAGCAACGATGTTTCTCAATCGATTAATCTTAATTGATCTTCACGAAATCGATCCGCACTTCTCTTAATTGATGTGTTTTAATAGGATTTATGTGTTAAATGCCATCAATGGCATATTTAGTGAAATGAATGTTAATTATATAATTTAGATGTAAATTTTATAATAATGATAAATAAATATATGAAACTGTATAAATTTTATCAATAAATTCGACTATAATTTTCTAATGGGTAAAATAGACAATTTAACCAAATTCAGACCTTTAAAAATTTACAAAAACAAACAGTTTCATTGATTATGCTTTCAGATGTCAACACCACCACTTATCTATACTATATTATAAAGCATTTGACAAAAACTCTTAAATTCCATTTTTTATGCATGAAGTACTGTTTATTGATGCATATTACTTAAAATTCAAGATTACAAGTAAACTGTGCGTAAATACWACTTATTAAAGCTTCATGTTTGAATTTGTGTAACTAACTTCAAATAAACATAATCAAATACAGGATAAACACTTTATTTTAAATATAAAAAAACTAAAATATAATTATGATAATCATTAAGTTCTAACAAAATACTTAATTATTATTTTTATAAAAAATTATATTATCAAACCAAAAATAAAAAAATGAATTAAATAAATACACAAAAAACAAGAAATTTTAAATAGTTAGTTTGATACTAATATCAATATTTTTTTATTTTTTATAATATTTTCATATTTATATTTTATTCAAAAATAAAAACAGTATCGCTTTCTCAAAACCACATAAATCCGTATTATAATATCGACTAAGACAAAAAAAAAACGAAACACTAAAATTGAGATGTATCTCGCTGCATTACGCAAGTACTCTTCTAGTCAATCATAAATAAAATAAAACTTCAGACTTCAACAACTCTTAAAAAAACAAACAACACCCTAATAACTTCCGAATAAAATTTTAAATATTTTTTATAAATAAAAATTTTAAAATAATATTAACATTACTTGAAAATTAAAAAAAAAACAAATATACAATACAATGATTCAAAATATGTGATGTTATTTTCTTGGTACCCATTGGTCTACCAGCATCAACTCCAATTTCTTGCTTTTAAATGATACAATAAATATTTCAATAAACTACATTAATATATATATATATATATATATATATATATATATTGCTTTTCCCACCAAACTTCTCTTCCCCTCCTTCATATTATCACATTCAAAGATTCAAACAATCATCTACTGTTCAAACAATTTTCTGATAAATTGGGAAGCAAGATCAAGAATGGTGTTAACCTAGCAGCTTTAACTAAGCATGTAAGAAAGTGAGCAATTTTACGGTGGTAAAAAGGTGGGCATCTTTACGGTCGAGAGTCCAGAATCAATCACGGTGTCGTTCTAGCAGCTTTAACCTAGCAGGTAAGAAAGTGCAGTTTTAACCTAACAGGTAAAAAGGTGGACATCCTTGTACAATCGGGAGTCTAGAATCTCAATCATGGTGTTGGAGATTGTGACTTCTGTGGTGTTGTTGGTTGTGGGTATTGCTGTATTGGTCATAATTCATGTATGTATGGTTGGGAGAACATTTAGGATGAATCAAGAAAGCATCGAGAGTGGTACTCTGGTGCAGAGTAGTTGTACCATATCAGAAGATGATATCAAGAAGCTTCCATGGTATGATTACAAGATGGATGAAGATGATGATGATGATGATGACGTTGATGAGAAAAAGAGAACAGCCGAGTGTACGGTGTGTTTGGAGGGTTTTAAGGTTGGGGATAAGTGCAGATTGTTGCCAAATTGCAGCCATAGTTTTCATGTTAACTGTATTGATTCATGGCTCATCAAGACTGCTGCTTGTCCAATTTGTAGAACTTGTGTTGATTTGAGGACAAAGTTGTTGGAGGGGAAGTAGATTTTCGGGTGATTTTTAGTTTTTTAAGAGTTGGACATAGATGAAGCGGGTCAAAGGCATTGGCATTCTGATGATCATCGTTTTTGTCTTCTGGATTCAAAAGATGGAGGGTTTCTGGAGATCCACTCTGTTGCTATGACATGTGTTTTTCTTTGTCGTTTGGGTTCAGAAGACTTAAAGTTCAATTTCCTAAAATAAGGAGAAAAGCTCAACGAGGGGAGGTCGGTGGGTTATTCAGCTAAATGGCCTCCTAACAAGTGTTTTTTTTTAATCTATGATGTTCAAACATATTTCTAGGTATTCTTGTGTAAGGATTATGAAGTGCCATTCTTCTATTACGCCGTTGCATTCTCAAACCTCTCAAAAGGTAATAAGATCAGGTCACGGGTGGGGAGGTGAAGGGAAGAGTTGTGTTCAATTTTCTTTCTTTTTTGGTTTCTCCAATTCATCAAGGTTTCATGTCAAATAGAAGCTTATAAAAAAAGTTATGATCGTTTTTTGACAAGTGAATTCATCATCACATAACGCATTTTAAAAACTGTCGACAAGGGTAGTTATACATTCATTTGACATGGAACTGAACTCCAAGGTATTAAATCTTGGCATACGTTGGCTAACAAGCAATCTGTCTCAAATATGAAAACAACGCTACATTTCTAGATTTCACTTACTTGTTATCGGTGTTGCTTTCGAGTTCTTTCCTCAGCTGCAGAGAGAAGTCGTCATTCACATCATCGTCATCCCAATCATCTTCCCACTGTTGGGTTACTTCTTTCCCTTCCTCCTTGGCATCCCAATCTGCTGAATTTTGTCATCATGAATATAACACAAGAACTTAGGATATAGGCAACAATAAGGTGCGTTTGGTACGTGGACAGGACGAGACAGGACTGAAACGGCGAGAGTGAGGTAGGTGCCTAGGTGGGTGAAAGAATTGTCGAAGATTTTAGAGTTTTAATTTGACATGGGTAGTTTGGTAATGTACCAAGCTTGTCTCATCTCCCCTGATTTTTGTTCCACCTATTTTGGTTGGACAGGCAAAATGTATTTTTGTCCCATTCAGACCTGTACAGTCTCAGTCTAATTCTTGCACCAAACATGGGACAACAAGTTTTTTTTTTCTGTTATGTCCTGTCCGTACCGAACTCACCCTAATGGATCCAATAATTTACAAATGGTTGATTGCATGTCTTCTGTCATATAAATATGCAAAACGAGTAAAAGCAAATTAGATTAGATGCATTAGCCTTCGATGCAACAAAGGTGATCAGAAAGATCCAAAAAGCCTAGGTGATTAGCATCCACTAACCATCCATTAGTTTTATGAGTAGTTGTTTATCTTTTTTGTAGACTTTCTATACAAGGAAAAAGACCCTGAGAAAACGTCACCTAGTTTCTTCTTATTCTTAGATATCAGAGAAAAATAAAGAATCAAAAGACTTGTCAAAATATGAGTGGAACATTGTTGCCACACAGAAACACAGAGTGACACCATTACTCCAGCAAGCTGCAACTTCCAAGACGAAAAAATGAAGGGGAAGATTGTGACTATTGGAAGTTAACAGAGTAAGATTACTAACCAGTAGTTTCTAAAGAGACGGGAGTTAAGAGGAGAAATTTGACAAACAAACATGGGGAGTAATCGAATAGACCAGCTGAAAAGCCAGAAAACACATAATTCAAATGGTTCAAGCAGGTGAGGCGATAGTGTATGAATGAGAATGCTGTGGTGAAACTTCAGAGGAAGTGAGGTGAGTCAGACAAAGCAGCAGCAGTATCAACCATCCCCTCCCTCCCCCAGTTATATTCTATTGATAGTTATTTCTCTCTGTGTCAGTAATAGCTCTAGACCGATAAAAAATTGGGTTTCTTTGGCTTTTATTTGATGTCAGCATCATGGATTTACTCACCTAAAATTCTAAATGAGAGTAAAAAGGCATAAAGCCCAAGGCGCTTGAATGACTTGACCTTCATCATTGTGCCATAGCCTTGGTAACAAGGAGAAAAATAAGCAACAGAGGCGAGCTATAGGCCTATGATAACAGCCAAGATTGCAAAATTTTATAAGGACGGCATGCTTGCCCATCTGCGTTTTATGAAACCACCTAAATCATTTCAAGTAATTATTTCAATACAAGTTGAGGCATTTTGACTTTTATAACTTCTTAAACAGCTGATTCACATTTACTCTAGGATGAGACAGGATGGCCAGCATAGAGGCTTTGATATCAACAAGTAATCACATGCAAATTTAGACTTTGAGCCAAGAATACACGTCTAAAGTTGAGTCAGTTGATTTATTAGACTCCAGCTTGTTTTGGACTATCAGAGTGGCCCCAAACCAGAATATGGTAAACATTCTCATATGCTTTAGGTATATATCCCCGACAAAAAAGGCTGTCTATGCTTTTACATGTGCAAGCACACGTCTCTTAAGACGAAATCTTATCAGAGCTTGGTTACGCTTAATCTAAATGGAATTGATAGTCACTTCCTTCAATGTACTTGAGGTACAGAAAGAAATAGCCAGTTAATATTTACGACAAATAGGAACTGAAATTTAGTGTATGAAGGATGGCAATTGTAACTCTGGTAGCGTCATATTATTTAACCAAGAAGATAATGGTGGCAAACCAACTCACGAATCATGAGTTAGTACTTAGTAAAGATAAAACACTAAGATATGCATCTCTCACAAAAAAAAATCACCACAATTACAAACTAAATGACAATCATTGCCTCATTCTTAATACCAATACCATGCATCAAACTATTGTTAGCAACCAACTAAATATCATTAGTTTCAACTCAGAGTTTTGGAAAATCAAGGGGATCTCTTCTTTTTAGTAACTCTAGAGTCTCCTGTTGACCATGACAGCTTAATGCAGACAACATGAATTCTCAAAACACTCATTTCATCTCACCAATGAAATCAGTAAAGCTTGACATTATTGGTAAGTTTATGGTAGTCCTAGGCAGTCATCTAGCTTACGACAAACATAAGATAGAAGCATTCTATGTACGATCTACGGGGTTACCATGCTTATGAATAAGCTATATTTGGTATTCCACTATTCCCAGTATAGATACCATCAATGTTCAAAACTGAATAACCAGCATTCCATTGATTTGATGATTGATTTTAACCTAAACTTCGTTCTGTATTAAAAAATTTGATTTACTAAAAGAAGACGTCTGTTTGCTGCAATTAAAAACTTTCCCGTGGATTAAAGCAATCAATCGCATGGCAGCGGCACATCTGAACTACAAACTAGTTTTTACAGTAAACTTTCGCATATTCAACTTAAGAAACGATAAAATTTCTGTACCTTGATCGATTTCAAACTCTTCAAACTCGTCGTCATCTTCGAACAGATCAATCTTAGCTTCTTCAGCTGCTGCTTTTGGTTGCTCCATTGTCGCCATATTTGCCTCAAGTATAAACACCTAATGGTAATGGCACAAACAGCATTAAGATGATAAAAATTTACTTAGAAACATCCCCAATTTCAAACCCTAATCTATTTACACAACAATATGTAAAGATTCAACGAATCATCACAGAGAAATCACAAAAATTAGAAGTTTTCGAAGCATTAACTCACAAGGATTCAGAAGAAAACTTCCAGTTTGATTAGAATTGCGAAGACTCGCGAAGAATGAAGCGTTCTTGACGAATCTACGATTGATTGAGCAGCAAGAAAAGGAGAAAGCCGCAATGCTAAAAAAACGTCGTCGTCTCGTGTATTCCATTTTTCGGAAAATGCCAAATGAGACCCTAGATTTTAGAGATCTTTACATAATAATCCCTGAAAAATGATGTATTGCATAACTACACCTCTTTCTTTCTTTCTTTTGTTTCTTTAGGTTGTTTTTCAGATAACATGTACGAAGATCACTCGTATACATATATGTTGTAGCTTATTTCCAAAGGTTGTTCCAAATAAGCCAACCAATTTACGTCAAATAACAGATTCTGATCAAACTACTGTCGAAATATTTCTCTATGATTTGTGCCACAATAACGTATGCGAAGAAGAACAAAAGGCCTTGAACACGTAATGGGTCTTGAAGTATTAATTATGCATCTCGTTACCAAATCCCCCCACATTACGATTACTTGTCAATGATTGATCATTTGATAGATTCCCCTTCTGAAACAAAAAGTTATGGCCCCAGTGGGATAATATCAACCACTTGATGTCCATCTGATGCATCCGTTATGATTATTCGTATTCAACCTTTTCTTTTCGTAAGATTTCGCTTACTATACCTAATGATGTTTTGGAGCAAATGCTCATGTCAAAAGGGGTTCTTTTACTGATGTGATGAATGTTGTGTAAAATGATAGATACGTTTCAAATCTTATAAAGTTTCAGAGTACACGTTCTTACTGATACGTATCGTCGTTTGTGAGCAACGAAAGGGCCCGCCATGACGTATGTAATCAAATGTGCGAATAACCAAACGTATGTAGTGGCATGTTGTGGATGGCAGGTTCGATAAAGTATGACAATTCAAGTTGATGTATTATGTCTTTTCAATATGATTTATCTCAAAACAACAAAAAGGTGTCTTTCTTACTTTCTACGAACTTCAACACAATTATCACTTTCACTTTGTACGCCATGACATTTTGTCGTCACCTCATAGTCACCATCGCTGACGAGGACAAACATTAAGCCGATCGTCTTATTGCATAAGACTTGCATTTACCATTTGTTTTGTTTTTTTATCCAACATAACATCCATATCATGTCAAAGACCTTCCAGCCTAGTGGTAAAGGCTTGGGCATGGCATAGTCATGAACCCGAGTTCGAGCCCTGGGAGGGGAGTGTTGGCGACATTTAAGTGGGGCCATGTTTGGCCTCCAAAGTTGTCGGGGATTAGTCGGGCTTTGGCCCGGACACCCTTACAAAAAAAAAATAACATCCATATCATCTGTGATACTAAAGACCCCATCAAAACTTGTATCGTAGGTAGCCATATCTAAGTGATGTTTAACAGAAATAAGTCGGTATATATATCCCAGTATCCCACATCAATATTTTGTCAAGATCTATAGATTTCTTTTATTTTCTTATTATTTTAAAATTTCCCACATGATGTGTGACCATCGTTACACATAAAAAAGTAACGTATTTTAACTTGATTCCTATTTTGGATAATGTATTTTCAAAGCTTTCATTTTGGTACCTAAGATGTAAGGTTTTAAACGTTTAAGTATCTAGGTAACTGATTGAAGCATTAACTAGTTACCATGTTGATGTCGCGAGTGATGTGTTATCCAACTCAGTATTATTTGTTGACATAGATATCTTAATATATCCGGTTAATGCTTCAACATATTTAACTGGTTAATGTTTCAACCGGTTATCCGGTTACTTAATTATTTAAAATTTTACATCTTATGTACCAAAATTGAAATTTTGAAAGTATGTTACCTAAAATAGGAATCAAGTTAAAATACGTTATTTTTTCATACAATTTGCCCTTGAAATTAAGACTTTTTATATCAACCATTTGAGATTCCTCGAGTCTTTGAAGACATGGATGTGAGAGGCAAAGAAAGAGAAAACGCTGATTATTTTTATTTATTTTCAGAGACGGAACACAAATGGACTGGATCAGCAATAGTGGAGGGGCCCAAAAGAATTTTATACTCAAAACCTTAATGGACTGGAGATGTTTCACTCTATCTATAAAAAAAACCAGGAGCCTCCGCCCCTATTTATTTTTATTACGTTCACGTCTTTATTATTTGACCGTTGCAGATGCTCCAATCTTTTTACGATACCCTTATTGTCGTATTCTGAGAACAAATCATGTGGCCAGTGTCGTGTTTTCTTATCTTCGGAAAACATCCCGTTCATGATCTAAGAATTTTTTTTTTGTAATTAAAGTGTTTACTTTTAGATCGAAAATGTCTAATCAATTTTATGAATTATACAGGTTATAAATGAGAAAATAAATGTGAATTTGACAGATGACAATCGTATCTGTTTAAATAATCTTGATGTCATTCTTAAATATTTATTTAACAGGCAACTGATCTAAAACATACCACGTATTTATTTATTTGATCAGAAAATAAGACGATAACGACATGTTATGTTGAAAGATTTTAAATTTTAAATCGTAAAATAATGTATTTATTATTTGCCGATACGTAACCTCAACTTCACACCAAACTAATTGACTTATATTAACATTAATTAAACCTAAAAAAATTGTCGGGATATATATTATATATGAGTACAGGGTTGGGTTTACGTGTGACCATCATGTTTTTGTGAGACCCTTGAAACCATTTTTTTACACTTGAAACTTCCGACAACGGTTGTGGATATGGTGAAGGAGGTTGTTGTAAAAGAGAAGGTGGAAGGGGTGGCAATGGATCAGGTTGGGTTGGGTTTGGGTTCAACCTATTTATTAAACATGTTGAAAATTTCAACCCAATCCAACCCATTTAATTAAATGGGTTGAGATTTTTCAACCCAACCCAACCTGTTGGGTTAATGGGTTGACAGCGGGTTGACATGTTTACGATTTTCTTAACCCAACCTGTTAAATAAATGGGTTGAACCTCGGTTGACCCATTTAATTTTAAAATTTATAATTAAAAAAAACTAGAGTATTTAATCTTTTTGAATAAAACATAAAACAACCATAAATACAACCAAATTGTTCAAAGTTTGAATAAAACACAACCACAACAAATATATTGTTCAAAATAAGTTGATTTTTTTTAATTATAAGTAACTCGACTTCCACTTTCATCAACCCCAATTTCACTCTCGTATCTAAATCCTAAGACCATTAGTCCATCAGCAAGTGTAATCCATGCGTACAAAACAACAACTTATATGTAGCTTGTATAATTATCTCAATGAAGACAAATGATAGCAATTCTCTCTGAGGTATAGGTACAGTGATAGAAACATATATAAGCCACACCACACAAATAACAAATTCAAACTTGAAAGAAATCATCGATAGAGTCATGAAGTAACAAATAATCAAAGAGAAGCATGAAATTCATATGATCTATACGAAGTTTAACAACAAAATACTAAACAAACATGATCATAAAGAACTTACTCTGCTATCGTTCAACAATGCCTTAAGCCCTCAACCTCAAATCGGAAACTGAAAGTCTGAAACCAACCCAAATCTTTGATTGAAGAAGATAGAACTCAAAAGAAGGGGAAAAGATTGATAATCGAAGCGTATGAAGATTGAAAAATTGAAGAATCGAAGGCAAAGCATCAAGACTCATTATACTGATTAGTAATGAAGCGTATGAATAATTGATTATTGAAGAATTGAAATCAAAGAGTCATCATGAAACTTGGGCCAATTTATTTGAGAAGAAACAAAATAAAAAATAAAATAGATATAATATTAAAAATAAAATAAATTTATATAATATTTTAAATAGGTTGAAAACATGTCAAAAAATTCAACCCAACCCAACCCATATATTTAAATGGGTTAGACGGGTTGACCCATTTATTTAAATGGATTGAAAATCTCAACCCAACCTGCTAATTCTGGTTTGGGTTAATGGGTTGGGTCATTTTTTGCAACAGTTATGGTCAGTGGAGGACGATGGTTGTGGAGGTGGTGAAGGAGATTGTAGTAGAAAAGACCTCCACCAGTAGTAGTGGTGGTGGCGATGGACGGTGGTGGTCAGTGGACGACGATGGTTGTGGAGGTGATAGAGGAGGTTATTGTAGTAGAAAAGGAAATGAAGGTGACCAACAATGGTAGTGGCGATGGATTGTAGTGGTAGGTGGCCAATGGTGGTTATGGAGGTGGTGGAAGAGAGGAAGGTCGCCGACAGTCACTACTGGCGGTGGCGGGACAACTAAAACAAATATCATGTTAAAGTTATATATCAAAATATGGTTAGTTAGTAATATTTTAGTTTCTGTCTCATTCTTGTCTAAATAAGTGGAACAAGAAAAACCATTTTTATCCCACCTTGTCACAGTTCTTGTCACCTTCCCATGTCACACTAAACATGGGATAGTGAGTTCTTGTCCTATCCTATGTCGAGCCAAACGTGAGACAGTGAGTTTTGTCCGATACTGTTTCTCTTATCAAAACCAGAGCTAAAAAGTCCCAACTCATTATTGTATATACCGATATTATTTACAAAAAAGTGTATCATTTTTGCTACTATATTCTATAATTCTATACGTATATTATACAAGTGTATGTATGTATAATAAAGCTTAGCTCCAAAAAAACCAGAGCTTCTATGGAAAAAAAAATTCATAACGATGAAGATTTCTAACCTAACATGAATGAATTGTTGCAATTCTTGATGAAGAATCCCAATTAGCCATCAAACCTGAACTGCTCGTTTCGTGGTAACCCTGCATTATTCGGATCAACAATCGAGCTTTCTTGCCGGCCTGCGAAGATCCGTTTGTCGATAGCGTGTACAAGGAACCGATCAAATTCGTGTTGTTTGCCAAAACCACGATCACTTCGACCCCCAAATTGTTGCACAACGCCAACAAGATCGACACGCAGTACTCTTTTGTGGCTCGTGAAGGCGATGTTTGCAGAGTTTTGATGATAAGTGGTAAAGATGACGCTTTCAAGATCGCGTCAGACCCATCGAAGGATTCGGCTAATGTGGCTAGAACCGCTAATGAATCGGTGATGATCTCGGGTTTATCTGAAGAACGGATGAGGTTCGATAGCAATGGAACGATCCCGGATTTGAGTGCGGGTTCGTGGTTTCTTGGGTAGAGTAGGATTCCGAATAGAGCGGCTAAAGAATTCTTTTTGCCGCAAGAAGTTCCGGTTCGGATTAGTTCGATCAAAGCCGGGACGGCTTCGGGGATTTCTCCGATGAGCTTCTGATTCGATTGAACAGACGATAAGTAGAAGATGGTTGCAGCTGCGATCTGTTTACATTCTGGTTTCAATCCGTTTTCCAAGACTTCGATGATCGAATTTAGCCCACCATGATTGATGATCACTTTCTTCCCATTTGAATGCTTTGAAAGCTTGAGCAGAGCTGCAATGGCGTTTTCTTGAACGGTTGAATCAGATGAAGGAAGTAGAGTTAAAAGAGGAGGAATCGCACCCGCTCCGATCAAACAAAACCGATTAAAAATGTTCGATTTCGCAAGTAATCGGATTTCATAAGCTGATCTACTCTTTTGAATCTCTGTTCCATTTCGTAATCTTCTCACCACAAATTCGCTGAGAAACTTGATTGCTTCCGCTGATGCCGGACTTCCGGGGAGAATCGTCGATGAAATATCGCGGCTCTGCTTCTGAAATTTCGAAATCGGAACTCCATGATCGATGCAATACTGTTGAATTACTTGCCGGAGATTCAAATTGGGGACGAGCTCCGTCGTCGCGAGTTTTTCACCGGTTTTCGGACAAATGAGGTTGCCGGATTTCAGCCATTTTTCAATAGAAGCTCGATCGTATGTCTGACCGGTGGAAACAGTCACCGGATCCGTCATCAGTTCGAGCGAAATCGGGCACCGGAAATCCTCAGGATTCAAACAACTGAGGATTTCCAGATGAGTTTTTCCGGCGGATTGATCATCGGCGTGCTCAAGAACAGTGTTTTCAAACAAAACCCCCCTGCAATACCTCATGAATCCAGCTAAAGTGCTCAGTAAATGCAAATCTTTTTCGTTATTTTCTAAAGATTCCAAACAGATCTCTTCATCCAGAAATCTGATCTCTTTGTGGCATTCATTCCAACTGTTAATACCAAGATAATAAAGAACACGTTTGATCACAATCGAGTCGGGTTCAAACCTGTTTTCAAATTGGTTCAAAATCAACAAGACCCGTTTCATCGCATACTCATCATCCGGATTAACCTCCATTTTGGCTTTTCCTGCTTGCTTCGCAACCATCTCCACCAATTCCTTAATTTCTCTCGAAATTCCGATCGAATTCAACGGAAGAATATCAAGCACCGTCGCAATCGCTCGAATCAACGTCAAAAACTGCGTCGCTACAAAGTGAGATTTCATCAGCATCCAAACCCTAGCGCCACGGCGAGTGCAATCTTCTAGTAAAAATTTCATCTTCTGTAACGAATGATGAAGTTCGGAGAAACAAAGGACGGCAGAATCGGGTAAATCGGAGACGTCTCGATCGATGATTTCAGCGAAGAACATGGAAAGAATCCCGATCTGTCGAATCGATTCACGGGAGTTTCGTCGTTGTGTGGCGAAGAATCCAGACTGGTAACTAGTGATGGAGTGTGAGAGAGTGATTAGAGAGCGAAGAAGAGTCACCGGATTTACATCTTGACATGGAAGAACCGCCGGAGACTTGAGAATCCGGCGACCGTTCTGATCAAATCTTTTGAGCATTGGAATTGAAGAAATCCTGTTGTTGTTTGTCTCCCAAATATGGTGGAGATTTTTCTTTTGAAATGTAATGACGGCTGAGGATTTTATAGAAGGATAGGATCCGTTGAGGACACGTGGCTAAGATCGATGCGCGTCTATAGATATGCTGCGTGGACTCGGAAAAAAGGAAGTGGTGTTTCATTGGAAGACACGTGTATGGGTCACGCGGGAAAATAAATTGGACGGTCAGGATCTCAATCCAGAATTTCATTTTTTCTTCATGGACATTTAAGTACCAAATACCGGTATCGTAAGTTCTCTTAAAAATGTCCGTATTTAATCTCTTTTCTTTAAACGGTTGTCGGGGTTGGAGCCGGGGATCTTCAGTACGCTCAAATTAACGGATATTTTTTACGGGGTTTGATTGGGAACTAGATATTAATCCATGTACCCATCGGGGTCGGAGGCTGCTACTAAAAACCGAAGCCGGGGCCGGGGATTACAAAACTCGTTTCATCCCCGCCCTGTTGCCATACTTACAAATAACGATGGGCATCTTGTAATTTTGAAGTTGTAGGGACGAAAAGTGATACTTTTAACAAACAACAAGGACCAAAGTTGTAGTTGACTATAAAAAGATTAAAAAAAATATAAAATTTGATTTTTTATGGTAAAAATGATTTTTTTTTATATTAAATCTATGTTAAATGTCACATTTAATTATGAAAATTAATTGAAAAAGACAATTTAGGGTCATTAAAGATTCATCATCCTGTTAAATTCAATGCACCATGAATTAGTGAACATGTATGCAAGCTTATGGTTAAACAAGTTAGTTATATATGTAAAGTATTATTAAATCATTACTAAATGCATACACATATAACAACAAAAATACATCTTATCTGGACAAGTTTATTTAGTAGATTTGAGATCACGTGAAACCAACCTGTTTTCATGATACTGTTTTTTTATAGTTGAAATTTCATATTAAAACGCTGTGAAATTTGTTGTGAAGGTTCGGTTTTTTTTTATTTTCACAGCGTTCTGCTATAAGGTTTCAATTGTAAAAAAAGTGGTCTCACAAAAACAAGTTGATCTCACATGAATCCAACCCTCATTTAGTAACCTTATTTTTATTAAGAATTGGGAATTTACGCACGGTTTAATACATGACGTATTCATCAGTAATATAAAAATCTATATAATTTTATAAATAACATAATAGGAGCATAAATAATTGAGAACCTTAAATATTGGAATTACCGTGTGACACTTTAAAATATTGTTTCACATGTTTTTTTTTTTTTTCCATTTAATATCATAACTTAAGGTGCTAATTAACATATATTTGTTTCACAATATGATTGTTCAAATGATTTCGTTAAATATGAGACATTTTGTTCCTTTTTTTTTTTTTTTTTTTTTTTACCCAATCAAAATCGATTTTATGATTTTGATCCTTATGGATTTTCTTGGGTAAAAGACAAAAATAAAATAAAAAACATCTTCATTTAACTGAATTTTTTTAATAACCATTAGATGGAAAGATAAATCCAGATGTTTTGGCAAACCATGATGTCATTTTGTATTTCTCAAACCGTAGGACAAAAGTTGTTATTTATGACAAACCACGTTGACGAAATTTGCATTTTACTCAACATTATATAGAAAAAAAAATCATCAAAAATAACTATTTTTCACTGTAATTAGCCACCTACCCATCACCAAATGTTATGACTTTGCAAGTAGCACATCAGTAATCTGCAAAGGTAGCTAAAAACAAAAAAAAATACAGTTTCTGTCCAGGTTCGCAAGTGGCATATCAATAATTTGCGGACCTTGACAAAAATTGTATTTTTTTTGGATCTTTTAGCTACCTTCATAAATTACGAACGTAGTAATATTTGGATAAAATCAAGAAAAAATACTAAAAGATCGATCGATCGATCGAGACGATAAAAAATTGGTTATTTCAGTTAATTTTTATATTATATAGTATTTTTTATGACCAAAATATCCATTGGTGTTGCTAGTGAATGCGCCTAAAAGGTTGTTGTTGAGTAAACGAGGGGTAAGTGGGCCCTGGGTTTTGCCGACTTTCAAAGGGACAGGTGGAGGCTCGGATGCTGACGTGTTGCTTCGGTAATGGGGAAAGTGTGAGACAAACTCCAAGCAAGCGTAAGGAAAGAGGCATTGGATCGATTACGTGGCACTTTTATAATCATTAATCAATAATTAATTATAGATTAATTTAAGGATTAACGATCATTAAATCATCATTTGACAAATGTAATTTATACAAGTCACACGTGGCATCCCAACTACGCGTTTGCATATAATTTAATCAGAACATATTTAACAAATTCTTTAAAATTAAAATTTTACGGATTTTTTTTAAGCATATTATCGTAGTCTTTGGCCTCTTAGAAGGTCATGAATTCAAACATCACCAAAGGTGAGAAGAGTATGTAAGTTATTTGTTAAATTTGTCGTATATAAATATTACATACTTTAAAAAAGTACATTATTTTCTATCTATTCTACCAATGAGATGGTTAAAACAAGGTTATGGTGGTAGATTTTTACTGGTTAACAAGAAATTGATTAACGACGGTAAATACTGAAGTAGAATGTGATGGGTGATAGTTGGAATCAGATATATTTGGATATGGGGACTGAGAAAACTTCATTGTTGCATTCCTTCAAACATTGCTCGACATCTGTTGTGTCCGATATTTGTATTGTACGTGATTCGTATAATTGGTGCGAACTCTCTGAGGTCTTGAATATTGATCATGTTTCTGCGATGAACCTAATAACGCTGTTTTATTAATTAATGAGATAAAACCAAATAAAAAGATTTAATCAGTTTATGAGTTGGGTTCACGTGAGACCGATCTGTTTTCATGAGACCCGTGTGACCACTTTTTACACTTAAAACTTAACATCAAAACGTTGCGAAGGTAAAAAAGCAAACATTCACAACAGAAACACTGTGAAAGTTAATTTCATAGAGTTTTATTGCGAAATTTCAAATGTAAAAAATTGGTTTCATAAAAACAGACTGGTCTCACATGATCCCAAGTCACTGACTTCGATTTAATTTCTTTGATTTTGGTTATTGAAGAATTCTAGAACCTTCCTTCGTGGAAACCGGAAATCTAGAAAGATTCCAATATAATAAAACGTCCATTATTTCGTCCCCACAATTAATTCATCTTCACGACTTGCACCAATTTGTAGATGTATTGTAATGATTATTGTTTGACAAATAAAAATAATAATTATTTTGTTTTATAATGCTCTGGGTGTGTAAACGATGCAAGTCGAGCTCGAGTATCGATAGTCGAACTCGATAGTAATTTCTCAAAGCTTGAATCCGACTCAAAAACTCGCGAGTAGTTAAAAACTAAACTCGAACTCGTTTGAAGCTCGAACTCTAACTTGAACCAAGCTCAAACTCGGACCAAGGTCCAACCATTCTTATTCATTGAAATTTATGAAATTGTAGGGTATTTTCTAAAAAATTATAAAACTTAAAGATGTTCTCGTAAATTTTAGAAAACTAAAGAAATGCATCTCAAACTTCATCTTCAAAAAGACAAAGTTACAAAGTGCATTCACCTCCCTCTCTTTTTATAACACTTTTCACTCTTCCTTCACTATTTCTCTTTCAATTTGAGTCATCTTTACCAACACTTCTATAGTTTTTTTTATCTTTTTTTAATATTATGATTTTAATAGTAAAATAACTGATTAATTTTTATAGTTAAAAAATGCATAATTTTGTTTAAATATCAAAAAATACAAGACATTTTATTATATTACGTTTTACAAATTATATTATAAAATTGATTATATTTTAAAACTAATTATATATATAAAATAATTGAGTATCTTACGACCTTTTCGAGTCGAGTATTGGATAGCTTGACTCGGCTCGTTAATATTTGGAGTGGAGCTCGAGTTCGAGCTCGAATTCGAGTCGAGTGTTGACCGAATTTTGACCGAGTCGATCTCGGGCGGTTCTCGGACTTTGTGGTATAAATAAGATGTAACTTTAGATCGTCGCCGGTCCAAGGAGGAAGACCTTCACAGGATGGCTAATGGTTAACAATCCTTCAAGTACCAGTGCGATCGTCTCAATTTTGACGGAGAACCATTGCAAAACGGAGATCCTGAAACGGAGAATGGGAACATGTTCCGTAACTTCTCGTCAAGGTTACGTTTCGCCACCGAAACCGCCACCGATTCTCATTACGCCCATGGATCTCGCTGGGGATGAAGTTGCATCGAGTTTCTGTTTCGTGTGAGTATTTACATTCGTTCTTAATGACGAGCATTACGTCGATCCATTACAATTACGTCGGTCATCGTCCACATTCCTTTTCAGGTTTTTTAATCTCATTTCGTTTTTTTTTTTATATGGTTCGATCGATTGTGGATTGTTATACTAATTGGTACATATGTTTCTGTTTTTATTTCCACTAAATCATCGTTGTTACCCTAATAGCTAGGTTAATCTAAAATTCTACACAAACAGATCATAGACGAACTCAAAGTTCTAATAGCGAAATGGCCTGTATTGTTTCATGAAGCAATATGGAAGAGAAGTGGACAAAACGAAACTATATCGCTCGTAGGATTACGAAAAAAAACTAGTACATTTTCTGCTAAGTACTGTGCAGATTATGTGTTTATAGTACCATTGTTCTTAGATAAATGGATAAGTGTTACACAAAAGAGTGATGCTGATTGCTGATGATCAATATTTCATAGGAACACTACTTCAAATATTGGGGAGAAATCATAGGCTAGGAACTCTAGTGTTTTGATCTGAAGAATCGCCTGCAACTTCAGTCTCTGATGAACAAACTGGAAATTTGCCTTTCTTAGACCACAACCAAACCTTAGAGACAGAAAAACTCTCATATTTGATCTTCCTCTGGTCCATGTCATCTTCAATTTTTCCACATCCTACATTATCTTTAACATCAAACAATGCCACTTGCAGATCTATATTATTAACCACATACTGAAATGAACCCATCGAGAAGCACCTTCTTGCATCCAAATTGCACCTACTAATCTCCCCTCCATTTGCTCTTTCTCCCGAATTGAAGCCTGTGAGCTTTCCTAGCCTCACAGAAAGCACCCTCTTTCCAAGATTCTTCTCGTTGCAACTTATCTCACTTACTATGCTATTTGTAGCGACATTCATGAAGTTTTCCAGAGGTTGATTATGACTACATAATGTGGTTCCGATGCTAAGATTGACCCTGCAAAGAGGGCATGTGGAGTTTGATAGAAGCCATGTGTCTATGCAATGGGTGTGAAAAGCATGGCTGCAAATTGGGATCAACCTGAGCTTGTCATAAGGTGAGAACTCACACAAACACACAGCACAATCAAATGGATCTTGCAATCCGGAAATGTTCTTGTAGTCGAAGACCGGAAGACTGTCAATGAAAGACTGGTCCAAACCAGAATCTTGTAGCCGGAAAAGCTGTTGAAGCTGTCTTCCAAGAGACTGAGGATGGTGAAGTTCGTTATATCTGTTGGATTGAGTGACTGATGGATAAGTTCGCTTCTTTTTTATGATTCTAAGCAGAAGATGAAGAATCCCAGAAATGAAGAAGATTGCAGCCACAGATACTATCACCCAGAGAAGAGGTGGACTAATTGTGATCTCAGATGGAGCAGGCAACTGAACTGAGATGCCATCTTCTTGGTGATCTTGGCTGACAATTCTAGCCATGGTGGAGAGTTAAGAAGCTATGGCATCATTCTAAACTCTGCAAAAGCCATAGATAATAACTGAAGGAAAATGAAAGAAGAAACTGCTTGAAGATTCTTGAAAAAAGAATGGAAGATAGAGACCTTATTGCAAAGTAGTTTGGTTCCCAATAATGGCAACATCACCAGATGAAAACACAGCTTATTACCAGAAGAGGAAAGCATGGAAGCAGCTTAAATGGTAGACAAAACTATATGTGTGGGTCTCTTGCAGCTTTTTCCCTTTTTTGGCATGCCAGACATCCCTAATTGCCCACTCAAGCTGGTGATCGTTACTAATCATGTGTTTCCCTAGTGACCACCTTAGCAGATAAGCCCTTTTCTCTTGGCTCATCATCTCAAATGAGCTTCCCATGATTTTTTTTTTACTTTGTAGCCATTTCATAACTTTTTTCCATTAAATAGCCAAGAATGATGGCCTTGTGATTTTGCAGCCTACGACTTTGGCTTGTTTTTTGTGCATAAATACAAGGGACTACGATACTGCAACTTGCGGTTCATAATGGTTTGTGCGGTGGGCCCACTTTTTCACCGGATGCATCATATATTTCCAAAAACTGCAAGGAGAAGTGATTTGCAGTGTTGACTTACTGTTTCTTGGCTATTTTGTGAGAAAAAATTGTGAGGTGGGCATAAAGTAAATGGTTTTTTCAGGAGGTGGCCATTTGAGAGAGAACCCCCTTTTTCTTTCCTCTCTTCTTTGTAAAATGACACAAAAGCAATGACAAATTTTAGGATTTGTAGACAACATAGAATAGTTGTGTTAGAGCCTCACGTCAGCTATATTTGGACTATTTCTCCTAAATATATATCGGAACCTCCATTCGATTCTCGATGGCTCTTTTGGAAGGTAATCCAATGGGGTTTCGCATATTCTCACAAACTATTGTATAATCAATCTCATAAATCCGCTTGAAGTGTACAGTCTGATATGTTACTCACCACTATTGTTGGCTTCTTCAGTTGCAAATTTCGGAACTTTCTCCCTCTTTGCATAATGATTCAGGTACGGGGTTGTTTGTTTACCTCTTAATAGTTCCATTAAGAGCCAAGCTCTGAATCGTTAAGAAGTGAATCTTGTTTGGCTGCTTCTTAATGGTTCTAAAACCCTCTGAATGATTTTGTATCATGGATCTCCCTTAATCATTAAGGGTCCTAATTTCATTGTATACAATTACCAAAAAATTATATTTCATTTTGCATTTTATCATGGGAGTCTCTTAATCATTCTAACCACTTAATGATTCTGTATCAAACCATTCAGCAATTGCCAAACAGCCTTGTAGTGTGTCGAATAATTTAAACGATAAAGATGGTAAAAAAGAAAAGTATGTAACATATATTCTTGAATTTGAATAGAGAACCAGAGTCAAGAGGGGTGGTAAAGCTATGACTTTGTCACTGTCTTCAAACTGCTTTTGGTCTCAATGAAGCAGCAATCATTATTGAGAGGGTCTGAAGGATGTGGGTAAAGCAAAAGCTGATGAAGAACCTCGATTTTGTGCAAAAGATCTGTATTTTTCAGAATATTACAATCTCATTTGCAGGTTGTTATTGGACTTATAACCAAATCAAGTGTTTTTAGAAATTTTGAAATTTTGAAAATTTTATGGAAATTTTGAAAATTTTGCTCTAATAACTATATTATTTTAGAAATTTTGGAGATTCTGGAAAATTTTACCCTAAAAGCTATGCTAAAATCCTTCTAAAAAAGAGAGGAAATCCTTCAAATTTAGAAGAAAAAGAGAAAATATATATCTCAGCCACTGCAAATAATTACTTGTCGGAGTGCTTATCAGATAAGAGACAATGTTGTTCAGCAAACGTTGCTAACCTAGTTTGTGCATCATACCATGCAGATTACACTGTTTTAGTAAACTACTCCTCACCTTAATCAGACTTCTTACCTCAATCAACTTATCCAACTTTATTCGATAAATGAACCATTACTATTTTCAATTAGCAATTACACGATATGAGTTGCCAATGGTTCATCAACTTTATTCGATAAATGAACCATTATGATTTTCGTGACTGTTATAACTGGGGTCCACCAAATAAGTTGAGGTCCACACTAATTATTCAATACAAGCACTTGAGGTGTGATTCAAACACCAGTATACCTGTGTTATCAGTTATGTATGCATATCCATAGACCATAACAATTATGAGCTTTTAAACCCATAACATAGATATATTTTTCAGACTTCAATTATAATGTAAAAGGTTTATGATTTCCATCAATAACAACCATATAATGACCAGACTGACATTTAATACAATGAACCTCCCTCCCTCTTCACATGAAGAAAAATCATTCAAATGAGAGGCTTAAAGAATCAAAATGGAAGCTTCATAAAACCCACAAAGTCACCACCATTCTTGCATCTTTTCCTCCTACTTCCTTCTATATATAAATATATCCCCCCCTCGCCCTTCAAAAAAGCTAATAATCCAGTTCGCCAACCATCTCCGTTCTCAGCAACTTCCATTAATGTTATCAAGGACAAAAAAACAGTATCTCATGTCTTGAGGTCATCAGACATGGCAGAAGGTATACAATGAGTTGAGAGGATGTCCACAGTTGCTGCTCTCGCACTTTTCAGTTGGAGTACAACTATCTGCACAACAATCCATTTTATACTCGGTTTGTTTAAAATCCTTTTTAACTTCACATTTTCATAATTTGTTCTGACATCTCTCATTCTTATACAACAAATATGCAGAGATGAAAGATCAAGGGAGAGAAAAGGAACGGAGCGCACACCTGCTGATAATCCAATTCGAATTTCAGATACTCATCGGTGCAGGTTTCCACCATGTTCGCCAAGCTCTTCAGATTCTTCACTTGGTGACCATTGAAAGCAAGTACCTAAACCGGTTTATATAGCAACATGAATAAGAAACTTGTAAGTACTAAACAGCGGCACCAATTCTTACAACCACCACCACCAGGCAAGCTTTACTTAGTTTGTTGTAAAGAATGGGGACGGAAGTTGTGAATTGTGTCATTAATGGGAAGAAATGGTAAAAAATGGGTGAGATATGAAACACTAGGCAAACCCGAAGTTCTATTTTAGCTTATTGCTATCCAAGACTTTCAAGATTCAAGTCGAAGCACATATGTACAACTTGCCATATTCAGGTATGGGTTCGTTTGGTTTGGTTCATTATTGTCTCATTCTCATGGTTCATTTGCATAGGATCTTCCAAACTCATGTACCAAATGCACCCACACTCCTCAAAAACTATCAGTGCCATAGATCTTTACTTAAACTCATATCTCATCCTCAAGAATCCTTGAAATTATCATATTCCAATATCTAGTGTAAAAAGGGAAGACACCACTCATTTAACAAGCAATATCAAGCTAAGATGGTTTGGTTTCCAACTATTCTCTTTCTTCACATACTTTTCACAAGCCGAGGGTCTTCACAGAAACGATGGCTTTCCTCCTCAGGGTAGATGCCAGCTTTGCATACACCCCACCGTCCGGCCTCCCCACACCAGACCTTTGGGTGGGATATACTGGGCGTGTTTGGTTTGGTTTGGTTTTGGTTACCCACCTATCAAGCATATAAATGTCACTAACATTATTGATGTCTCTCCTCTTACATAAGACATCCTTACAAGATCTAACCACCTCAATGTCTTTGTATATCCTGTCTGAAACTCTCACCAGATGAAAAACCTCAAGGTCGTAATCCCCTCTAAATCAACCCAACAACAGAAGTCGTCATCACATTAACCTATGTGTAACGTCTCTACTTGAAAATTCAGAGTATTCATGTCTCATGGGATTGAGGAAAGGTCAGCTTAACATGACTAATCCAGTGAAATCCATTTAACCAATAGAGATCAAGAATGAATTGTGGTCTTCTGCAAGGGAAAAGTACCATCATAGAAATAATACTCCCTCCGCCCCAAAAATACGATTCCACATTTCTACTTTAGCTTGTCCTATAATACGTTTCCACTTTCAAAAGTAGGTCTACTTTCCCATTCTACCCTTAATTATGAGATGGAGAAACTTCCTCTCTCTATTATAAAGGGTAAAATTGTCCTTTAGTTAATTAAGAAGTGTAATAATTACACATTCCCAGAACTGCGTGCCCTTTTCATTGTGGACATTTATTTGGGGACGGAGGGGAGTAGTTTCTAGACCACATGATACTTGATATTTCTCCCAAATCAATTTATTTAAACCATCAGAAGCACAAGACTAACCTGAGTGTTGACAATATCTTCGTATCCTATGTTGATATCCGCCACAAGAACCTTCAATAGATGTGTCAAAAGTAAGTGTTGGAACTTCCACTTGACAAAAAAGGAGGTATAAAATGGTTCAGGAAGTTAATAAGAAAAGCAGTTAGAAACCTGTGAGACAACTACAATCTGTTCATCTGGTGACTTGGGCAATTCATGCAAGAGTTTATCCAACAGCTTAACAGGAGCATCATATCCATAGTCTTTTCCATACTGAAGACATACATATCATCAGTACATACATGTCGCTACAGCTTGAAGATTGCAAATATACCATCTTTCACTATTCACTATGAATATAAGCGCCATACCACCAAATATTATTAAGAAACATAAACCAGAAAGGCATTTTTTACAGAGAACACTGGACAACCCATCTCTGAAGGGTGTGATATTAAGCTCGTATGCGACCATTTGACAGTAAAAAATTGCAAAGCAATGGAGAATTATCTGGGTGTGGATAGATGACAATGGTGAAATGACAAGCTGGCAATTGCCAACCGAGATAAAATACTAGCAGAAGGAAAAGTTGCTTCTCTCTCAAGGGTTTGGGTGGAAGGGGAAAAAAGACGGTTTTTGTCTCGGGAATAAAACAAAGAGAAAGAACACAGACAATGGTTTTTGTCTCAGGTTTTGGCCGGGGACTAAAACCAAGGTTCTAAATGACGTGAGCCGTGGCGTGGCGGTGAGACCAAGCCTCAAGCCTTACTAGTTACGGCGAGGCCATGGCATTTTTCAAGGCGTGGCCTAAGGCGGCATACGTATACATATATGTATGTATATATCTATTCACTACTTTCTTCAGTCTTCAAAAAAAATCCTGTTCAACTCTTATTTAGGGTTTTTATGTTTCCTTTTATTGTTTATTTAAGTTTTAGGCGTCGAACATAATTAGCATTTATCCCCCCTAGTATATGTTTAAAAAAAGTAAATAAAAACATGCCTTACAAAACAACGCACCCTAATGCTCCAGAATGTGCCATAGCGTGTTACAACGGGAGCCAAGCCTTAGAGTGGAGCCACAGTGTTAACATGGCGTGGCGGCGAAGCCAAGCCTCGACGCCGTTAGAACCATGATTAAAACAAAGGGAGAGGGATAGCAGAAAAGTGAAATGTTTGTTTACAATATTTGTTTTTCATTAGAATAGAGAAGACAAAAGGGCATAGTAGTCTTTTGTTAAAAGTTTTCTGAATCGAAGCCATACCAAGGAAACTGGTAGTGGTTTGAGAATTCTTAATAAGATTGTAGCATGGTTCAATTACTTCAACATCATAAAAAAGAACATATTGAACAGGGCATAAAAATATACTCATATATATATTCGTCGTAAGGTGTAAGTAAACTGCGCACCTCAGAACGGAGATAAGGAACGGAAACGGTTGTAAAAACCAATCCTGCAATGATGTAATAGGAGGGAGGTCGACCCTTGTTGTGTGCAGGAATTAGCTTTCTGTGAGTCTCAAACTTGATGTTAAATTTGAGGATCTTAGATTCACGAAGGACTTTGATTTGAGCCGTATCTCCGGTATATTTATGAGATACAAGATAGCTAAAACCTATCCGCTCTCCATGCCTAAAAGGAACTGCAACTCACCAAAGAACGGTAGTTAAAAACCACTCAAACAAACCACAAAAGATAGGAAACAAAATATGTAAGAGAACAACTAGAAATTCAGCTTATAGAACCCGCCAAAAGGTCGGTAAGAAAAAATTTACCACCGTTATACAAAACGTCAACAATATATATCACACGTGAATATCCCATCCCACGTGGAGTTAACTTGTGGATGTCATTGAAATTCATAATAACAGGGTGCCAATATCACATATCCATCCAGAAGGTGACAATCGCAATCACAGATAATCAAGATAAAGAATAACCACAAAGAACGTTAGTTGCAATATGAAAGTATGGCCAAGTATCGTCATGAAATTGGAAGCAAAAAGGCGAAAAGATTCAACACAACACAGTGAACATGGTTAACGAAAGAAAAATTGACGTATAATACACTGTTACCTGTTCCATCGTTGGCAATATCGACCCCATCGAAACTAAGGATAATATCAGATGGTTTTAGAACTTTATGCTCAGGAGATGTGGGATCAATTCTTCGAATACGAACACCTTTTTGATTATCCTTCATCCCCATCGACTTCCGCAAATCAGGGTTTTCCATCTTCTGCCACTCAACCCCAAGAATAGGAAATCCTGGCATCCATGAAATAATAATGACATTGACGAAAACCGTGTTTAAAACTAAAGTCGCCCAAATTCATTCATGTATTTAAACATGAAAATGGTTTTATTTTTGTTCATTACATGCATTGCCGACAATCTCGAGCATAGGATTACCAAAGAATTGCTTCTATATTTACAACATGTATCTATATAGAGTCCCAATCATTTGCAAACCTCCTAATTCATACAAACAAATCAATTGAGATTATTTATGGAAACGATGATGGCCATTCATTATGATCTGGATATTTATGGAAGATGATCATAGTTAATTCATTATGATCACCGTTTTAGATTAGGAAACAATTGAAATATCCATGGAACCTGATATTCATTACACCAGATGAATGGTTGATATTGATATGTATGGTTTGCAAATGATCGGGACTATATATATGAGGGAGGTTCAAAGAACACTAACTAATTAAAAGAACACAAAAACGGGCAGGTCACGTCCAAAATCACATGTGATTTTACACTAACGGTCAACGTAAAGACGTGAGGGCGCCATGGCCCGCCCAAAATCACGTGAATCACATGTGATTCTAATGAAAATTCACATGTGATTTGACAATTCTCTTATTTGATTATTGTTCTTGAATGGCCCGAACTCACACACACACACACACACACACACACATATATATATATATATATATGCGTGTGTGTGTGTGTCTTGAATAAAAGAGATGATATAGATTATGCAAAAGAAAAATCTTTTACAAAAATTACCAGTATATGATCCATTTTTCTCATAATCTTGGATAAAGTGCATTATAACAGGTGTCGGTATGACGTATCCAATGTTTTCAGCATCCTCATGCTTAAGAGACTGAAATGCAATACCAACACAATTTCCCTTGTCATTGAAAGCCGGCCCACCAGAATTCCCAGAGTTAATTGCAGCATCTATCTGCAACAAATTCATATAAACTTGTGTCAGTAAATACAAATGAAATCATAAAACACGGTCAAGAAATCTTCATTAACCTGCAATCCCAAAAGCTCAGTCGACCCATGAACATACGATAAGATCTCTATACGTGAAACAACTCCACTAGTGACGGATATCGTATCTCCTCCGATTGGATACCCCACAACTGTAACTGCATCTTGAAGTGCAGGCAGATCCCCAAATTCCACAGGTGATACATCTAACCAAAATTCATTATCCTCCACGGTAAGCAAAGCTGCATGATTTTATGAACATGGTCATCAGCGAATAGAAAGTACTCGATGCACATAATCATATGAAACAACTACTAGCTGGAGATGACAATCAATAACTAGAATAAATGTCCGCATGATCATCGAACAAAAAGACATAATCCTTCCAAATTCAGCATCTCCATTCACTAATGTCTAATATCATGGTGAAATCTTGAAAAACAAAAACAAGAAAAGTGATTCAAGACCAAACCCGCAATCCCAGATATTACCTAAAATTCTGTAATCTACACTGATCTTGAGATGCTAATTCTCAATAAAATCATCTAAACTAAGGCAATAAAAAACCCGCCAACCCGGCCAACGCAACCCGCAAACAACCCAACTAAACCCAACCCACCAAATTCTCCATTTTCATTTTGCTTAATTCTCGTTTTCCATTTACATACTGTTGCTATCTACCTTGAATCTAGTAGCAACACAAGAATTGAATTAAGTTAGGCATGCAAATGTGTAAAACAAAACTACATATAATTTTATAAACATGTACATATACATCTCTTGGTGAAGGCAGCCTGCATGAGTGTTTGTATACATAGATATTTTCATCTTTTGCAAACAGCCAAACACAATTTGTTCGCTTGTTGTATGTACTTGTGCATCAATAATTCAATATTACCTATTTGTTTTCAATATATATATATATGTGTGTGTGTGTGTGTGTATAACGAATAGGTAATATTGAATCATTGATGCACAAGTACATACAACAAGCGAATTATATATATAGAGAAGGGTTCAAACGATAACCTCCACCTATATATATAGGGGCAGGTTCAAACGAGAAGCTAAACAATTTGCGAGAAGGCAAGAAGTTTCAATCATATATGATTACATGCATGAATACACAAGCTTGATCATATATGATTAAACAAAAGTTGCATTGACAACACATAGACGCATAATCATATATGATTAAATATGCCCAAATGAGTGTAATCATATAAGATATTGAAACTTCTTGCCTTCTCGCAAAATGTTTACTTCTAGCATTATCCTTCCTCTATATATGTATATGTATACGATTAAGTCGAATGATCGATAATATTCATAACTCACACAAAATCGAAGACGCATACTCATTTAAAACAATGATGGCAACCCACTAATTCAACCCAACCAACAAAGGTTGGGTTGGGTTGGGATTTTCTCATACTGTCATAATTGAGTTGGGTTGTATAAATGCCTCAAATCGTTTACACCCGTAACCTACACCAATTCAATCACGATTGGTTATTCTAGTATTTGAAACAAGAAATGGAAAAGAAAATGGTTATAGAAACCATGGCCATTCCGTTCTCTGCAATTTCAGTAAAATTGGTTGTAATGGAAGATGATAGACTCACCGATATCACATTCCGTTCCGATTGCAAGAACGGTGGCGACATATTTGGTATCGGAGCCACGTTTCTTCAGCTTCACCTGTGTATAATGCTCCACCGAGTGTGCATTAGTCAAAACCCTCCTCCCACTAATCACAAACCCACTGCTACTAGAACTATACTGCCTCTTCCTCTGCCATGGCAGAGAGAAATTGGGCTCGGTGTGTGTGCAAAACACCTTCACCACGGCGTCCATCGCCGGCATCACCCTAGCCATCGCCATCACCACGCTCTCAAGTACCGAACCATTTCCATTTCCATTTCCATTAGCCTCTATACACCTAGAGGGGGTAGCAGAAACTAGGGGTTTTTCAGGGTTTTCGGCGTGAACGGGGGTTTTACGGCGGCGGCGGAGGTGGTGCTGGTGATTGGTTTTGGGGGTATCATTGTTGAGGCTGAGATCTACGTCATCAACAGAAGGAGAAGAGGTAGTCGCTTTGGAGGTTTGAAGATCTAGGGTTTCGGGTACTCCAGATTTAGCCTTACGACCTCGTTTCCGCTTGTTATCGACCATCTTGGAGTTGTTCCTGCAATAAATTGGTTGAAAAATGAAGACCTGTAAGCTGTGCAAGTATCAAAGAGATGAACCCCCGGTGAGACGGTGGCGGTACCGGCACCGGATGTTTGATGTTATTGAGAGGTGGGGAAGGTTTAGATTGCCGGTGAATGGATGCCGGTTTATATGGAAGACTGCAGGTCCTCCTTCAAAAACTAAATAAATCACTTCACAGTCTTCCTTCAAAACTAAATAAATCATTCAGGTCTTTCTTCAAAATATTAGCCGCATTTTGATATACACATCTCCATACAAGTAATTTATCTGAACAAAAATCTCATGTTCAAATTTAAGGAGAAACAAAAATTCTCGTGTAGTCACGGAGGTTCAAATGCAGTGATTCCGAGCTACATGCAAAATAGGTAATCATCTTGGGATTAATTGGCTCGCATAGCATGTTGGATATCCAGGCTAACCTATATATATATATATATATATATATATATATATTATGTTTGGCAAACTAGTTGATAAACAGTTGGTAGCTGATTACTAATAAGCTAACTGATTAATAAATCATGTTTGACAAAAATTATTTTATAAACATGTAAAATGATCAAAATGACATTGAAAAATTAATCAATTATAACTAGTTGTGTATCCGTGCAATACGGCGGGAGCCATGAATTTTAACGATTTTGAAGTTTCACTGGTTTTATAAGATAAGATTTAATGATGATATAGGTTACAATTGGTTTTTACATATTAATACAATTTGAATAAATAAGAGTTATGATTCCAATTACAGACTATTGATGAAAAAAATTGTATGACAGTTTAAAATCCAATATATTTAAAATCAAACATATTTAAACGACTCCACAAATGTATTCGATTTACACCAAAAGCAAAGAACCAAGAAACTTGAGTTTTAAGATAAACACTCAAAACCAATAAAAAAATTACAAATTTGACATATCATAAGCCATGAAAAGACAAAAAAAGATGGGTTTTAGAATGAAATTTCAACTGATT